TTTTTTTTTTTTACAACAAAATTTATGTTGCGAATTGAAACAAAAAAAGAAAATTTTTTTTTACCTCTCAAAACCAGTAAAAACTTTTAAAGTTATGCTCCGAAAAAAAAAAAGAAATTTTCAAATACCGAAATAAAAAATTTGAAACTGGAAGAATAAATAAAAAAAAAAAAAATTTTCTTTCTTTCTTTCTTCTCTATTTCATTTTTCTCTTTTCTCCCTTCTTCTCTCCCCCTCTCTCTCCCTCCCCCTCCCCCCTCTCTCTCTCCTAAATGTAACCTTTTTCCAAAAAAAAAAAAAAAAAACTTTTTTTAAACGTATACAAAAATTACATTACGTTCTCTGTTTACGAATAAAAAAAAAATTTTTTTTTTCTTTTTTAAGTAACCCTTTTTTTATTTACCACTCTCGTATAATGACGTATATGTTTATAATGACGTCATTACAGTTGTAAATAAACCGAAAAAAAAAAATTTTTAAATCGCGAAATGATAAATGATATATTTTTAAAAAAAAATTTTTTTCTTCTTTTTTTTGTCCCGAATTAAAGAAACTTAACGCCAAAATTCCTGATCCTTTTCCAATATTTCACCAATAAATAATAATAATAATAATAATCATCATCATTATTTTTTTTTCGACTTCTTTTTTTTTAATGCTTTTTTTTTCTCTCGCTTTTCAATACGTGTTTTTTTTTTTTTTTTTTAAAAAAAACAAGATTTTCCTTTTTTTGATAAAATGCCAGGAGACATTTTGAAAAAAAAAAAAAAAACAACCCTTAAAAATTTTGATAGTCAGTTAAATAAAAATAAATCAAAACACTTCTCCTCCAAGTCTTTTTCTTTCATTATTATTATCATTAAAATTTTCTTTTTTTTTGGAGCCTTTTTTCTTTTACGAAAAATTCCCACCCCCTTCCCCCATTTTTTTTTTTAAAAAAAATTTTCCATAACGTGTAAATATTAACAAAAAAAATTTTTTTTTTCAAACGGCTTTCACGGTTTGTGTTTGTTTGTTTGTTTCATTGTTTTATTTGATTGAAATAAAATTGAACTATGAACTTTGAACTTTTTTCGTTTCAAAATTCAAAACCATTCGGAAAATTTTTTTTCTAATTTTCCCCCTTTTTTCAAATTAATTATTATTATTTTTGTTTACATAGTTTACGATTGAAATTTTATCAATTCAAACCATTTTAATTGTTTATTATTATTATTATTATTATAAATAATTTATTACCTGTCGTTTTGATAAATCGATCGATAAGTTTCTTTTTTCCTAAAAAAATTTTGCACGCGAATTAAAAAAAAAAAAAAAAAAATTATTTATTTATTTATTTTTTTATTACGTCGTAAATTTTAACATTTGAACCCTCGTTTGAACCTTTTTGTTTTTGAATTTTGAATTTTTTTCTTTTTTCTTTTTCATTGTTTGCCAACCTGAAAACTTTTTTTTTTTTCGTGACGTAAAGGAAAATTTTTTTTTCTTCTTTGTTGCGTAAAAAGGCGGATTCGTTGTTATTAATTTTTTTCTTCATAAAAGAATATTTAATCAGTTTTTAATTTTAATATAAAAAACATAAAAGGTTAAAAAAAGGTCGTATATTGAAATAATAATAATAATAATGATAATAATAATAATAATTTTTTTTAATCAAAATATTAAAACAAAAAAACAAAAAATGGTAGAAATTATTAATAAAGTAATTACGTAAAAAACGTTTAAAAAATTTATTATTATTACTCCGGAATCTATTCATTGATTGATTGATTGATTGTTATGAATATTTTATGTATTATAACGAAGAATGAAGGGAAAAAAATTCATTTTTTTTTTTTTGGAAATATCGCAGGAGGAAAAATCATAAATGATTCAAAAAAATTGTAATTGAAAAAAAAAAAAAAAATGGAAAAGTTTTCAATAAACCGTTGAAATATTTCCAATAAAGAATAAAATTATTTTAAAAAAAAAAACTCCAGAATATTTCCAGAATATAAGAGGTATTATGAGGAAAAAAAAAATTAAATAATAATAATAATAAATTCATCTCCTGGAAATTTTTTAAAACTCGGAAACCAATCAAACCGATACACGTATATAAAATCCATTTTTTTTTTTTTTTTTAAACAAAAAGAGGTAAACAATAAAGAGAGAAAATTTTTTTTTAAATTTCGATAACGAATTTTTTTTTTTTTTAAATCGATCAATCGAATATCGATTTTCATTTTAAAAAAAAAAAAATGTTTCGAAACTTTTTTTTAAAAAAAACCCCCCAAACCCATCGTCATCTCGTCCCATCGTCAACCTTTTACGTTCCTTTCGTTCTCGCATTTCCAGATTTTAAACGATTTAAAAGTTTAAATGGATGCTAAAAAAAAAAAAAAGGGACGATGACGATAATAATGATGATGATGATGATGATGATGATGACGATAATAATGATGATGATGATGATGATGATGATGATGATGATGATGATGATGATGATCATAATAATGATGATTTTTTATTTTAAAAAAAATTTACTTTTTAATTTTGTTTACTTACAATTAAATTTTTTTTACTATAAAAAAAGAATATCGTTTTACATAATTTTCTATTCATTATTATTATTATTATTAAATAAGAATTATTAAACAAATCGAATAACGACGTTACGATAATTATAATGATGATGATAATAATTTTTTTATCATGTCAATTTTTTTTTTTGTCATTTCGTCGACAACCAACAACAAAACGGTTGTTAATACTTTAAAAATATAATTAAATTAAATAGAGAGAGAGAGAGAGAGAGAGAGAGAGAGAGAGAGACTTATTTATCAATCGTTTAATAATAAAACGTCGTCTGCTTTAAAAATTTTTTTTTTTTTAATCACGACGATATTAAATAACGATGATAATAATTTAATTTTACGTTAATAAGAAAATTTTTTTTTTTAAAAAGAAGGAAAACAACTTTTCTTGACATTTCTTTTCTTTTTCTAACGTCATATTATTATCGATAAAAGATAATTTGATTTTTTTTTTTAATAACAAAAGGCTCTTTTTTTGTTTAAAAAAAAGGCTTTTTAAAAAAATATTTGAAAAAAATAAATAAATAAATAATTTTTTGTCATTGAAAAAATAAACAAAAAAAAAAAAAAAAAAAAAACCTCCTTTGATTTCTATTTTTTTTTTTTTTTTGTCTCTTTTTATTTATTTTTTGTTTGTTCCGTATTAAAAACAATAAAAGTTTGTCTCTTTTTTTTTTAACTTTTTGTAAAAATTTAACTTTTATAAAAAAAATAAATAAATAAAATAAAATAAAAATAATTTCCTTTATTGAAAAATTCAAAAAGGAAAAAAAAAGAAAATATTTCAATATGACGTCATTGTGGTTTTCTTTTTAAAATTTTTTTTTTTAAGTATTAAAAATATCTATAAAATAATTGTTTATACAAAAATAAATGAATAAATAATTTTATTATTAAAATTTAGAGAGGGGCAGGAGGGGAAAAGAAAATGATTTTAATGTTTATAAAGATTATCGTTTCGATTTAAACAATTACAAAGGTTATAAGAAACATCACGTGATCTTTAATTTTTCCATTTTTTTTTAATAATAAATCACTTTAGGAAAAATTTTTTCATTTTAACAAACAATCATATTTAACGACTTGACATTAATCTTTTCTTTTTCCTCATTTACAAACACAGTGTTTCAAAAAAAAAAATTTTTTTTATCTTTTTTTTTGCTTACGTTTTTCATCGTTAAATAAAAAGATTTTTTTTTTTTAAATTAAAAACGTACATGAGTATTTTTTAATAAAAACAAAAATGAAAGAGAAAGAGAGAGAGAGAGAGAGAAAGAAAATTTTTAAAAATCAAACAAATTGTTTACCTTTGTTAAGTTGATTTTTTTTTTTTAATACCGTAAGGAAGTAAAAGTTTTTTAATTTAAAAAATTTTTCCAATAAATATAATAAACACTTTTTAAAAAACAAAAAAAAACAAATAATAATAATAATAAACAACATTTTTAATAATAAAAATAAAAATAAAGAAGGAAAAAAGCAATATGAACGACCGAATGATCCGACCAATCATAAACTGATACGTCAATATTACGTCATTAAAAATTAATTCATATTAAATACGATAGAGCGCACCACTTCAAGGTCGATTAAAATAATTTTAATGGCGTCTCTTTTTTATTCGAATACATATTAATATGATAATTATAATAAATATAATTCTTTTTTTTTTATTTATATATTTTAAGACATTTTCTTCTTATTTTATTTTTCAAATAATAATAATAATAATTTTAAGTAGTTTTTACCGTTATTCTTTTTTTTTTTACAACAATCCCCTTTTTATTTAAATTAAAACGTTTTTTTTTTTTTTTTTTTTTAAAATAATCATTCTATTCAATGTAAAATTGTTTTTTTTTTGTTGTTGTTAAGCTCGCGATGTTAAAAATTTAAATCCTTTTGAAAATCGTAATTCGTGTACTTTTCTTCACGTTAGCGAACCTTTTTTTTCCTTTCCTTTTATTTATTATAATTTTAAAAAAAAAGAAAAAAATCGTTTTAAAACCTTCCCAATTCGCCATCCATCTTTTTTTTTTTTTATTTATTTATTTCAACTACACGCACATAAAATTAATTTTTTTTTTTTTATTTCAGGAAATACAATTTAACCGTTAAAAAAAAATAAGGAAAAATGTCGTACAATTTATCCGATGATTTATCACAGTACTACACCGGAAATAATGAATTGGGTTTGCTTAATTGCGACAATTCAACAACCGGAAATTGTAGTTACACGGATTCTAGTGATTTTTATGGTGTTTCATCTTTAGGACCAGAAGACGAAGAAAGACTTCAAAGCATAATAAGAGTTGTTGTACCGGTGAGTTCCCTTCTCCTTTTTATTTATTTATTTAAAAACAAATTAAATTACAAATTTGAAAACAAATTAATTACAATTTAAATTAAATATATACGAAAATTTCTAATTAAAAAAAAAAAAAGATGTCGGATAAAATTCGAATCTTAAACTTTTTTGTTAAAATCCCAACCTCCTTTGATTTATTTCCTTTATTTATTTATTTATTTTCTTTCTCCATATTATTATTATTATTATTATTATCATCATTAATAATTTTTTATTTTGCAATATTGCCAAAATAAACTCAAATCAATAAATTAATTATTTTAATATCGTAAAAATTTATGATTTTTTTTTTTTTATTCGGATTCCATGTTTTTTTTCCTCTTTTCCCTTCCCCTTCCTCCTTCTCCCTCTTTCTCTCCCCATTTATCGATCCCAACAAAAAAAAATACATTTATTTTTATATATATATATATTTATAAATTAATGTCGTGGGAATAGATTAGATTATTAAATTTTTTTTTATACATTTATTATATGTTTATTTAACAAAAAAAAAATAAAATAAAAATTTTTTTTTCTTATTTAAACTTATGTATGAAAAAGCACGAATAGTTTTTTTTTTTATTTTAAACTTAAATTTAGATTTAATAGATTTTATATAAATATATACAATATGTTATTTATTTAAAAAAAATATACATTTAAGATAAAGAGAGAGAGAGAGAGAGAGAGAGAGATAGAATTTTAAAAAGGAAAAAAAAATAAATAAATTTTTAGTTTTTTTTTTTTTCTTTCTTTTTTTAGGGCTGCGATTTTAAAATCGTTAATAAATTTTTTACATTTTTAATAATAATTAAATTTTACAACGTCATATAAATCATTATTATCATCATCATTACTAATTTTTTTTCATAATAAATTTTCCGTTGGAGCTCGTTAAAAAAAAAAAAAAAAACGATTTACGCGGTTCTATTACTACGGTTTTAAAAAAAAAGTTTTTTTTTTAATCTTTGATTCGGGATTAATCCTTCTACGGATTAAAATCTAAAATGGATTAACCAAAGATTATTATATAACAAAAATAAAAATTGATTTTTTTTTTACAACAACAATAATTCTTCCGAATTTATTTTTTTTTTCGCGTTTTAAAATAATGATGATGATGATACGTTTGATTTAATTTATGAAAATGAGAATATATTATTATTATTATTATTAATTTTCTGTTTCAGATATTCTTCAGTTTAATTTTTATATTCGGACTTGTTGGTAATCTATTAGTTGTTATCGTCGTCGGAGCGAATCAACAAATGAGATCAACGACAAACCTTTTAATATTAAATTTAGCAATCGCGGATTTATTATTTACAATATTTTGCGTACCCTTCACAGCTTGCGATTACATGTCTTGGTGGCCTTTTGGTGATACCTGGTGCAAAATTGTACAGTATATGATTGTCGTTACGGCATATACAAGCGTTTACACGCTTGTTTTCATGAGCTTTGATCGATATTTGGCTGTTGTTCATCCTCTTACGTCCATATCATGTAAGTTTTTAATAATAATTTATCTATATATGTTTATTTATAATCGATACAATTTTCAACTCAAATGTTCTTTTATATTATTATTTATTAAATCGAATACGTGTTAAAAACTTATTATTATTATTATTATTATTATTACTTGGCATTTCGCCTCGTAATACGATAAATGCCATCACGCCCTTAAATTTGTAAATTTAAAAATTCGGGGTGGGAGGGCAAATGTCAATTTTCGTTTTTGAATTTAAGTAATTTTAGCCGTTAAATAAATGAGCGAGAGAGAAGAAAAAATTTTAAAAATTATTATTATTACCATGTAATTTTTTTTTGGTCACAATCCAGCAACTGGATTTTAAAGAGAGAGAGAGAGAGAGAGTGTGGAAGAGAGAAAAAAAATATTTAAATGCAATTTTTATTGAGTAAAATAAAATAAAAAATTTTTTCCCCTTTTCCTTCCTAAAAAAAATTATATTTTTATTAACTTTTGACATTTTTATCAAAGTGGAAGTAGAAACGAAATTCATTTCTTAAAAAATATAAAATATAGATATTTATATATATATTTCGATTTTTACTCACGATCGTTACAAAGTTTTAAAAAAATTAACTTGCGAAATATATAAAATTTAAAAAAAAAAAATTTTTTTTTTCTTAAATTCGAATCGATTTTTTTTTTTTTTTACCTTCCCTATCTTCATCATCATCATCATCATTCTTTACTCTTTTGATCCTTTTCTAATCTTTCATCTTTTTTTGCTTTTCTTTTTTTTTGGTAAATAATTGAATGCTTTTAATCTTTTTAAAAAACTACTTACTTTAACTACTTACTTTATTTAAAAAAAATATATATATATATATATATATGTAATTTTTTATATCAACTTTTCTCATAAGATAAGTATATATAAATAAACGCTCTTACGACTCTATTTACTTATAATTTTATATATATGTATTTTTTGAAATTTATTTTTCACGGTAAAATGCATAAAATTCTTTTCGTTGGGAAAATTTTTTTTTATGTACTTGTAGTTACGTACATAAATTTAAAACTGCAATCTAACTCAATTATAAAACATCACGTGACTTTATAAAGAAACATTAAAATCCACATAAAAAATCGAGAAAATGCAAAAAATCGATCGATAAATGGATTTTTAAAATTTTAATTATCATGTATTGATTAATACTTAAACAATAAAAAAAAATATTATGGATTTATAATTCTCAAAAAGTTTTTTTATAAAAATAAAAGAAGAATCCGGAAGGATTAATAACATATTAATAATGATAATAAAAAATTATTTAATTACAACCTCATGATTAATTAATTAACGTGACGTCATCTCACAACAAAAAAAAGGCTTATTGAAAAATAATAAAATTAATTTTTTCACGTAAGATATCTTTGTTGGAAATTTTTTTTTTTTATGTTCTAATTGTGTTTTATAATGGAATGAGTTTTTTTTTTTTTGATAAGGGAACATTCTGTTGGACACAACCCCCGGGGGTGGGGTGGGGAAGAGTTTAAAAGGAGGCAAAAAGTTGATTTAAGAAAATGGTCACACAAAAGAGTTGTTGTATGTTTGTTGTTTCGAATTCAATAACATAAAATGACAACAACAAAAATTGTTAACACATCAAATTCGAAATTATTTTAGAAAAGAGAAAGATATTGATTCATGCTTCCGGCGAAAAAAAAAGTAGCAGAATATATTACTTAAAATATTTTGTTCTATTGTCTCGTGCACACAAATCAAAAGGAAAAACCAGAAACGATCAAAGAACGGTTTAAAAATCAAAAAATGAAATAGAAATCGTCTCGTTGCAATTTGTAAAGAATTGGTTAAAAGCCAAAAAAAAACCGGAAGTTAAAAACAATTTTCCGCCCAAACTAAAAAAAAAACAAAAAATTTTTGGTCCATACCGGAGGCTGTTACGAATAACATGCGGTTTGACTTGGTTTTTTTCATGCCTCAAGAAAAACAATCAAAGATTAAAGAGAAAAAACAAGACCAGGTGAGCGTGTGTATGTGTGTGTGTCTCTCTCTCTTTCTCTCTTTCTCTCTCTCTCCTTTGTTATATTTAATTGATGCCAAAGGGCATCGAAATATTCCAGACAATCGTCCTGGAAAAAAAAAAATTCCCTAGTAATTAAAAACAAAATAATTAATTTAAACAAACTCTTTAATTATTAATTAATAAAATTAGTTTAAAATTATCATTATTATTACATTTACAAATTATAATTCTTATATAAAACCTAATACTTTTTCTTATCTCTTTCTATCGCATGTTAACTCCTCGCCTTTCCCCGCCCCCTCTCTCTCTCTCCCCCGCTCTCTTTCTCTCTTTTTCTTTCTCTCTTCATTTTAATTTTCTCAATTTTTTTTTTCTTTTTTTGAAAATTCCGACGAAAATATCGAAACGTTTTAATTTATTTTATTTATTTTTTTATTTCACTTTTTCTGGAAAATTCCATCATTAACTTGTTTTCATCATTGATATTTATTTTTCCTTTCTAAAAAAAAAGGAAAAAATTCTTATTCAATTTTGCTTTTTTATTTTTTATATAATTTTCTTCTCTCTTCTTGTTTTTCAACAATTTTCTTGTTTTTTCATTCATTCATTCATTCATCTCTTTATTTATTTAATTATTATTATTATTTATTTATTTACTCATTTTTCTCCTTATTATTATTAATATTATTATTATTATTATTATTAATAATTTTTCGGGAGATAAAATTTTTTTAAAAATAATTTTATTTTCGAATCTAACAAGAGGAAAATAATTAAAAAACATTTTAAATACCCAGAACCAATTAATTTATATTTTCAAAAAAACTTTTCCTTTTTTAAAAAACTAATTCAATTTATTTTTTTTATTTCTTATTTCCCCTTCCTCCCACTCTTCCCTCTCCTCCCTTCCCCACGTTTTAAATCGCGTTTCGATCGTATAAACGAAATAATAATAATAATAAAAAAACTTTTTACCGTTTTTTAACGCTTTCTCTCTCTCTCTCTCTCTCTCTCTTGAGAAACTTTTTTACAAAAACTTTTTTTTTTCAATTGTCGAATTTTTTATTAGAAAAAAAAAAAAATTTCCTTTTTTTCCTTTTTTATGTGAAAAAGGTAGCGTAATATAATCCGACGATATTTTTATCAGATAAATTAATTATAAAAGGGGAAAAAGATGAAAACCATTGTTCGATTTAAACGTAATTAAGGATAATAAGTTTTAATAGAATATTTTTGTAAAAGAGAGAGAGAGGAAGAGAGAGAAGGAAAAAGGAAATTTGACTGATGATAGAAAAAGAAAAAAAAAAGAAGAAAAGGAGAAGGATAAAAAACAAACAAACAAACAAACTTAACGCGTTACTGTCAAAACAAAAAAAAAAAAAATAAATGAAAGGTTGAAAACTTAACTATTCAAAAGAAATTTTTTTTTTTTTTTATTCGTTAAATCCGCACCCTTTAATTATCGAGAGAGAAAAAGAGTGAGAAAGAGAGAGAGAGAAAAAGGAAAAAAATTTATTTTTAATTTAACTTTACATCAATCGAAAATATTGAAAAATAAAATTAAATACGTTTAATAATAATTTTTTTTGACGTTTGAAGCGTGAAAAAAATTAGAGAGAGGAAGAGAAAGATGATGATGGGATGCTGTGTGCGTGTGTGTACCAAAAAAAAAGAACAGGAAGTTATAAATTTTATTAATATTATTATTATCAAAAACGGGATTTTTTTTTATAAAAAAAAGAGGTCAAAAGTTTTATTTAACTTTAATAAAGTTTTTCAAAAAAAAAAAAAATATTTTAAACTAATTTTTTACGTTTGAATAATTTTCCCCGCAAAAGTTTTTTTTTTTTTTTTTAAATAAAAATTTCATAATTACAACATAATAAAACCGGAAATTAGTTTATTTAAGTTTTTTTTCTTTTATCTTAAATAAATTTCCGGTTTAAATAATAATAATCATAATAATAATTTTTTTTTCTTCGCTATTTTTTTTTTTTTTTTAATTTATTTTGATACTAAAAATATCGTCGATAGTTTTTCTTTTATTTTTTCTTACAAAAAATTTGCGTTAATTTACCGTCGTCGCCATCATCATCTCGATTTCCCGGAAATCGTTATTTAAACGTTGTATTTCCGTTACTTTCATAATTTTTTAAACGAGACAAATCGATTTATTTACATAGTGGTTGTGTGTTGATTTTTCCAAAATTTTTTTTTTTTCCCCTTTTGAACTTTTCCAAAATTTTATTATTATTATCATCATTTTCTTATCACACAATTATTATCATTATATTTAAATTTAAAAAAAAACTCGCAAATTTTAACGACAAAATTTTTCAAAGTCGAATGGGAAGGAAAAAAAAAATTTTTTTTATTTATTTCGTGTCATTTTTTAAATTTAAATAAATATTTTTTATATATAAAAAAAAAAGTTAAAATTTGACAAAACAATTTTTTCTTTCTTTCCGAATCGGAAGTTTCAAATGAAAAAATAAAACGAATAGCAGAAGAAAAAAATAAAGAAAATAAAAAAGATACGTAAATGTCAAATAATATAATAAAAAAAAAAAAAAATTCTTCTTTCCTCTTTCCTTTCCTTTTGTAAATTTATAAATATTTTAAATTTTTATTTTTTTTTGTCTTTTTTAAATTTCGCGCCAATTTTTTTCCTTTTGTTTTCCTCATTTCACATCAAAAATTTATAAATGAAGCGTAGTTAAAAATTTTATTATGTTAAAAAAAAAGAAAAAACGATTAATAACGTGAGATATCATTAAATGTAATTATTTATATTTACAAATGAATCGATCAATCAATCAGTGAATAAATAAATAAATAATAATAATAATAATTGAAATTCATTCGTTTTTGTGATAAAAAACAAGGATAAAATTTCATTTCAAAATGTAAATAAAAAAAAAAAAAAAATTGATAAAACTGATTAAGTTAAAGTAAATAAAAAAAAATTTTTTTTTTTTTTTTCTCATTTCACGGTTGAAAAAGATAAAATAAATATAAACTATTTTTCCAGACGGTTAATCAGTGTCAACAAAGGTAGAGAGAGAGAGAAAAAAGTTTCCAGTTCCATTCATTTAATGACGTAATAAGATGACGTAAATCGTCCGTCGTCCATTATCGACCGTTCGAGTGTATGTGTGTTTTATTAAACTCGTTAATTATCATTATTATTGATGTTTTCATGGGGCGTTATATGATATAAAATTTTTTTTTTTTAAATTCTCTCTCGTTGAGCTTAGAGTGAAAAAGGAAACCGGAAATAAATAATAAAAAAAAGAAAATTTAACTTCCTGATGATCCTTTATGACACAATGTTGTGATAAAAGGAAATTTTTTTTTTTTAATATAATAATATAATTGATAATTATATAATTATATATATATATATATATATATAATATAATATATTATATATATATTATATAATATATATTAGATAATTGGTTCACTGGAAAAAAAAAAAATATTTTGAAAGAAAATTATGACGATAAAAACTTTTTTTCATTTAAAAAAGAAAATTTATTATTATAAAGGTGATGTTCGTTTACAAAATGGCGGAGTGAAAATAAAAAAATCATCGAATCATTCTTTTTTTTTTTTGTCTTCGTTTTAATTAAAAAAATAATATTTTCCTGTTGTTAATTTTTTTTTCTGTTTGTTTGTTTCTTTTTATTATTGCATTTTAATTTCAAAAGGAGTTTTTTTTTCTTCTTCGCACAAATAAAAAAGAGAAAAACAAGACCGGGAAAAAAAAGTTTTTTTTTTTTTAAATCTGTCAAGCATGAAAAAATCTTTTTTTTCTTAATTCCAAAACACGTTTTTTTTTTTCAAAACAAATCTTTTCTTCCCCCTACTCTCCCCTGCCTCTCCTCTCTCTTTTTTTATAAATCAAAAGTTTTTGAAACACGAAAAAAGAAAGAAAAAAGAAATAAATAAAATGAAATAAAATAAAATAAAAATTTTTTTTTTTTGTTTTAATTTTTTTTCATTATTACGAAAAGCTACGAAAGTTTTTTTCTTTTTCTACAAGAAAAATAATGAGAATAATAATAATAAAATTTAAAAAAACACTTTTGGCGGTCGTTTTAAACATTTTTATTTTGATTTTTATGGAAAAAAAGAAATAAAACATCTTTTCGTGCATTTTTTTTCCCCCTCAAACTTTTAAACTTAATTACTCAAATAAAAGTCAAAAAAAAAAAAAAAAATCTTAATGCGTTTTTCTTTTTTTTTTGTTTCTCGGTAAATAAGAAGATAAATCTATGAATAAAACGAATTTTAAAATCCTTTTACGAATTATTTACGATTAATAAATTATTTTCTTAATTAATTATTTTAATTTTTGCGAATTTATTTATTTTTAAATAAAATTTTTTATTAACGTACTCTAATTCTCATCATCGACGATATGTAAAACGATCAAAATATATTCACCAATCGCGTGTGTGTATTACGATGATGTCATTAAATAAACGAACCAATTAGGAGTCGTGAAAACAAATTAACGAATTCTCGTTATTCTCCTTTTTTATTTTTTTGACTTTTCAAACTTACTACTACGTCGTTTTTTCCCGCAATCCATTTACTTATTGCAAAATGACAATAATAATAATAATAATAACCAAAATAATTTAAAAGGAATTTGAAAGAGAAAAAGGAAAAAAAGGGGGGGGAGGAAGAAAAAAGGAACAAAAGAGTTGATAACGTGACTTGAAACGTAGATTCCCTGTCAAACCGCAACCACTTTTATTATTAAATTTATATTTTCAACTATTTTGTTGTTATTGTGAAAATTTTTTTTTTTTTTATTGAAAAGAATTTTTTTTTATATTCGTATCTTATCACGTAAAATGTACGTCAAAAATAAATAAACACAAATATAGATATATACGAAGACGTTTCGATGAAAATAAATGAAAAGAAAACTTTTTGCTTTTATTTCGTTTTTCTTTTTTTTTTTCCTTAAAAAAAATTAATTTTTCGAAATAGCACGAAAAAACAAGCTCCCATTATTGTCGTTACAACGGATGATAAAATTCATTAAAAAACGTTACGAAAATATTTTTAATTTTTAATTAAACAAACAAAAAAAAGGGGGGGAACAACCATTTGTAAAACAAAACGTTCCGAAATTATTAATTTATTTTTATTTTTATTTCACTTATTGCACCCGATTGCAATAATTTTTCTTATTATTGTTAGTTTGGACGCCATCTTGTAAATAAAAAAAAAATTTTTTTTTTTTTGTTTGTTTGTTTTAGTTCGAACTGAAAGAAATGCCGTTTACAGTATCATCATAACATGGCTTGTGATTGTTGTTCTTAGCATGCCGGTCATTATGATACACGGAGAATTTCGTTATTATTATCAAGAAGAAACACGAGTTGTTTGTGTTTTCCTACAAAATGATTACGATAACATGGTATTTCACGTAAGTTGATTAATTTTTTTACGTTACGATCGATTTCCATCGATCCCACAAATTTTCCATTATTATTATTACTTAAAATTACTTTTTTTTTTTTTAAACCTTTCATGTCGTCGTCCTTGTCGTCAAATTAAAAAAAAATTTAATTAATAATGATGAAAAAGAAACCGATTATAAAAACCGTTAAAAAGATTCGAAAATTATAATTATTAAATGGCGGAATGAAGCGTGGGTTAGGGAAAGGGGGGGGAGAGGGAGGTAACAAATCGACGACAAATTTCCCCGTCGATGTTATTACAACGCGACGACGACGATGACAAAATTATTGACGTCATTTTAATGTTTTATTAAAAAATAATTGGTTTTATAAGTTTAAAAAAAAAAAATAAAATAAAAAACGTCATTTAAAATTTGTTTTTTTTTCTTTTTTTTCCCGAAAGGATTATTTAAATAATAATTTTAATAAAATATTTTAAAATGATATTAAAAATTATTAATGTAAAAACATAAAATTATTATTATTATTATTATTAAAATTAAATACGGGAAATTACACGAGAAAATCTTTCGTTAAAAAAAACACAAAAAAATTAATTATAAATTTATAATTATTATTATTATTGTTGCTGTTGTTGTTGTTTTTCGATAGAAAAAATAAATAAAAATTTAATGACGTAAACTTTTTTTTTTAAATATTAATATAATAATTTTAATAATATGTAAATTTTACATAATAATAATAATAAGCCAAACATTTTAGAATAATTTTTTCTATTATTATTATTATTATTATTAATAAAATTTTAAATATATAATAATAAAAATTGAACAAACAAACGAACTAACGAACGAATAAAGGAAAAAAAATTTTTTTTTTATTATATATAAATTGTTTTTTACACGTTTAACTTATACTAATATCGATCAATTTAAAATTTCATTTTTAGTTTCATAGAGTAATAAACCGGTAATTAACAATCGCGAAAAAAAAAAATTTTTCTTTTCAAATGATATTCAATTTATTATTTGCCTTTATAAAAAAAAAAGTAATAAACCATCTTTACTTTTCATTTTCTTATTCCACGACGAATTCGACTCCTGCCACGATTTTTTATTTATTTCAAAAATATTAATAATATTAACAAGTATTCTTTTACTTTTAATAAAAAAATAATCATTTCATTTTTTTTACATTTTATATTAATATTATTATTATTATTATTATTATTATTATTACTATTAATTAATTATTACGTTTGTTAATGATAATAATAATAATAATTGTACCTTAGAGTTCAATTAATGTTAATAAGGTAAAACAATTTTTTTTAAACAAAAAAAAAAAAAAATTTTATTTTTATTATTATCATTTCCCTCATTTCTTTTATAATTTTTTTGCCCCTCCTCCCCTCTCCCCCTTTACTCTTTTTTTTTTTTAAATCGTTCTTTAATGAAGTGATAAATAGTAATTGAAGTAATTAATTACCACCCATAATTAATTAGTTTGCGTGAATTTAAATTAATGACTTATTATTATTATTATGAATGTAAATTTTTGAGGAGAGAATAAGAAAATGTGGTTTAATTTTTTTTAATTTTTTTATTGTCGTCATTATTATTATTATTATTAATATTTGTAACTGTAATTTATCATTATTATTATTATTTATTAAATTTAAACGGTAATAAAAATTTAATAATTTATTGGTATTATTATTATTATTAACTTCTTAGTAAAACGTCGGTTTATTTTTTACGTGGAAAAAAAAAAATAAAAAAATTTACTCACGGGAGGTTGAGATGAGATAAAAATTTTGCAGCATCAGGACCAAAAATTTATATTTTACATCATAAAAAGAAAATTTTTTTTTAAGGAAAAGTGCATGGAATTTTTTTTTTTTTTTTAAAGTTTAAAAAATTTATTTTAAGAATTTTATCTTTTAAAAAATAAAAAAAATTAACTCCCCCTCCCTCCCCTTAAAAAAAAAAAAAAAAACCTTTTCAAAGCTTTTAAATTAAGTTTCGGGGAAGCCATTTTCTTTTTTTTTTAAACCCGAAAGAAAATTTACTTAAAAGCTTTATGACGAAAATAATCATTATAATTTTTACTCTTTTCTTTTGGTTTTTTTTAAACTCAACGTATATAAACCGTGAATCGTTATTATTATTATTATTATTATTATTATTATTTCTTATCAACATTCATTCGATCATTTATTATCGTTCACCGTTTTTTTTTCATCTCCCCCTTTCTTATAATTGATGATATGAAAATTTTTCCACTCAAATAATAATGATAGTAAAACAAGGGAGAAAACGTCAAAAGAAAATTTTTTTTTCTTAGAACAATCAATTAAAACAATCATCATTATTATTATTATTATTATCGTAATCGAATCAGAGAAACGAAAAAGGAAAAGATTTAGAAAAAGTTTTTTTTTTTTTTTTTAAATTCATTCATAACTTTTTCTTATTTGTTTCGATGCGTAAAATCTTTTGTAAGATTTTTCATTTTGAAAAAAAAGAAAAGTTTTAACGAAATTGTTTTCCGATATTGTTTCGATGAGGGGAAATGGCACGCGCACGTCTCCTCTTTCGTCATACAAAAAAATAAAACAAAAAAAAATTTTAATTTTTCATCAAGTGCTCTAAAAAATTATTACACTTAAACAAAAACAATAAAAACATGTAAACAATTTTCTCACGATTTTTTGTTTGTAACCTTTCACACCTTTCCCCCTCAACCTTCATCCCTTTTCTAAGAAAAACATAAAACGATCTTTCATCACGATTAGTCTTACTACTAATTCTTTTTCAAATACAATGAAAGAAAAAAAGTAAAGAAAAACAGAAAGAACAATTATTTTTTTTCAAACTTATAAGTTGTAGTAATAAAGAGAACGGAAAGGATAGGAAAGGTTCGAAAAGGATGGAAATGGAAAAAAAAAGGATATTTTTAAAAATTTAACAACTTTTAAAGCTTTTTACTAAGAAAAAAAAAAGTAAAAAAAATGAAATAAAACTTTTACAAGTTTTTTTTTTCTTTTCCCACTCCCCTTTCCCTCTTCCTTTTTTTCCTCTATGATTTTCCCTCCCCCTCCCTCCTTTCTTCCCCCCATTTTTTCCTTTTTCTTTTCCTTTTCTAATATTAATCTGACACGTTAAATTTTTAACCTTTTCTTATATATTTATTAATGTTACGGTTGAACGAAAACTTTAAAGGAAAAAAAAAAACAAAGACGACGACGCCTACCCCCCCCCCAAACAAAAGGAAAAAAAAGAAAATTTTCTTTTTTTTCTTCCTCTCTGAACTCAATTTTTCTTTTTTTCTTTTTTTAAAAATTTATTTCGTTTTTATGACAAATAATAATAATAATACCAGAAAAATGACTTGAACATATATATATTTTAGTTTTTAATAGTAAAATAACGAAACTGTTTTTTATTTATTGTAAAAACGCTTTAAGGAAAATAATAATAATAATAATAATAATAATAACAATAATATAATGATGATGATGACGATAAATAAGATGAAACGAAACTATATGTTCATTATTATTATTATTATTATTATTATTATTATTATTATTATTATTAATTATTATTATTATTATTATTATTATTATTATTATTATTATTATTATTATTATTATTATTATTATTATTATTATTATTATTATTATTATTATTATTATTATTATTATTATTATTATTATTATTATTATTATTATTATTATTATTATTATCGTTAAAATCACGTGAGCAAAAGGAAACTAATTATATTAAAATTATTATTTTACCATGTTCACTCTCTCTCTCTCTCTCTCTCTCTGTCACATTTTCTGTCTCTTTTTCTCTCAATGTCTTTTTCTTTCTTTCTCTTTTCTTTTCCTTTCTAAAAACAAAGATAAAAAAAAAGGTAAAGATAAAAAGGAAACAAGAACGAAAGCAAAAGACATTGAGTGACAAAGAGAGAGTGGGAGAGAGAGACAGAGAGAAAGATGGAAAAAGTTTTTGTAAATTTATAAGGCAACAAAAAACACATGATGATAATGATGATAATAATGATAACGACGAGGAAAACGTCAGAAAAACATTTAGAAAATAAACATTGACGTCTATTTTTGATAAAGACAAAAAAAGAATAAAATTTAAATTTTATTTCCCCGTGTGAACCCCAAAAAAACTTTTGTTTACCACAAAATTTTATTATTATCATTATTATTATTATTATCATAATTGTTATAAAAAAACGTTAAAATGTGAACATTTTTTTAATTGTATTTAATTTAATTTATTTAATAATAATTATTTCAAAACGAAAAAGGTAAATAAATAAATAATAATTAAAAAAAAAAAAACTTGGAATCTAATTTAAAATTAAAAACGACGACGGACTCGGTATAAAAAAAAAAAAAATTAAGAAAAAGTTTTTAAATTAAAAAAGGAAAGAAAGGAAAAGTTTCTAGAAAAAAAAAAGAAAGAAAGAAAAATTTCGTGTCAATCAACGTGAAAATCTTTTTTATTAAAATTTTACACCGAGAAAAAAAAAAAAAGTTAAGAAAAAAAGAAAAATTAATTTTATTTTGGTTTTTTTTTTTTTCCATAGAGTAGTAGTAAATTTATCTAATTCCACGTCTCTCTCTCTCTCTCTCTTTTTACTCCGTGCAAAAAAAAGTTTTCCTAGTAAAAAAAAAAAAAAAGGAAAACTTTATTGAAAAAAGAGTTGTTAATAAATTATTTACTTTTATAAGTAATTTTTTTTTTTACTCGAGTTCGTACCTTAAAATAAATTTTTTATTTCGAACCGGAAACGGAAAAAAAAAAAGAAAAACGTTTCCCGGATTTGTTCGTTCGTTCAATTTCTCTGCAATTTTCTATCATTCAATTCTCGTTTTTTTTCCTCCACCCCCCTCTTTTTCACTTCCTTCCTCTCTCTCCTCCTCCTCACTGAAATTTCAAAATTTCCTCCCTCTTTCCCTCTCCCTTCCTTCCCCTCCTTTTTTTTTATCGTGCAAACACATCCGATATTAACCACAACAACAACAACTACAACAACAACTTTTTTTTTTATTAAATTGTTGTAGTTGTTGTTGTTAAAAGGTTTTTAAACGATATTTTCTTTTTTAATTATTTTATAACGGTCATTAAAATATCTTCTGCAACTTTTTTTTTTTTTTTTACGATCGACATTTTAATTTTAAATTGAACGGAAGACAATTTTTTTTTAGAGAAAAAAATTACGTTTCGCTATTATTCCACTGTTTCGTTTTTCCTTTTCCCGTTTTTCCATTTTTCTTTTCTCCTCCTTCTAAACTTTCCTTTTTTTTTTTTTTCTTTAAAGTAAGAAAAAATCTCTTTCAAAAGTAGAAATAAAAAAAAAAAAACAGTCCGATTTTTTTTTTAACGAGATAAAAATAAAAATAAAAATTTTTTTACGTGCGCACAATTTTTTTTCATCCGCCGCCGCCGCCATTTTGTTTTTTTTTTTTTTTTTTTTTTTTTTAAATTGACTTCGAAACAAAGCATATATGAAATAAAAAATAAAAAGAAACTTTATATGTTTTCATTATATCGATCGATCTATCGCGGATTCGATAAAGGAAACATAATAATAATAATAATAATAATAATAATAATAATAATAATAATAATAATAATAATAATAATAATAATAATAATAATAATAATAATAATAATAAATAAAAGTCTCAAACGCCATGTTTGTTTGTTTGTTTGTTTGTTTCGTTTCGTTTCGTTTGCTTGTTTTTGTTTTTTTTTTGTTTTTTTTTTTATGGTTGCAAAATAAAGTAAAAAACAAATTTTTTTTTTTAAATTTAATCTTTCGATTTAATTTTTTTCTTCTTCTTTTTCTACTTCCACGTTTTTTCTCATTTTTTTTTTTTTCATTTATTTTTATAAGATTTCATGATTTCAAATTTTTTTTTTCAAAAAGGGGGCGCGGGGAAAGAAAACGAACGGTTTTCATTCATTTAATGAAAAATTTTCCATTACGGGTAGATAGACAGAAAAAATATAATTTTTTTCTAGTTACACGTTACAAGTGTTTTTCCTTTTTTTTTTTATTTCAATTTCTTTATATATATATATATATATATATATATATATATATATATATATATATATATATATATATATATTTTTTTTTTTTTTTTTTTGAAACGTGAAGCGTGAGTAGAAAAAAACAAAAAAAAAAAAGAAAAAATCAAATTCATTTTTTTTTTATTTTGCCTTCTGCTTTTTTCCGTGCCACGTTTTTCTGAAAATGTTTTTAAAAATAAAAATAAAAATAATTACTTACGATGTAACACGTGTATTTTAAAATTTAAAAAAAAAATTTTTTCTTTTTATTTTTACGATTTTAATATCGGGGAAGGAAGAAGGGGGGGGGGAAATGTCGAAATTTTCTTTCTTTCTTTTTGTTTTTATTTCGTTTTTTCGCAATAATAATAATAATAATGATTTTTTTTTCGAAATTGTAAAATTTAAAAACTAAAAAAAAAATAAAAAACAGACACACACACACGCACGCACATGTTTTAATTTATTACCGTAGTAAATGGTTGTGGGTTTAGAAAAAGAAAAAAAACCGTTTTTTGTTTTTATTAAAACCCTAAATCATTTTTTTTTCCATTTAAAAAAAAAAAAAATTGTCCGTTAAACTTTGTAACCCGATGCCAAACATTCCGACAAGAAAAAAAAAAACAAAATAAAAAAATAAAAAAAATCATTTTTTGAAAATGGATTCCACTCACTTCCCTCACCACCACCACCATCACCACCACGTACAAATGTCACGTGACTTTAAAACAAAAAAATATTTTTTCCAAGACCAAAATATTATTTTTATTTACCAATTAATTATTTAAGTAAGAAAAAAACCGTTGAAATTTGACGATTTTCAAAAAGGTTTGAAAAATTTATATTAAAGTCAGTAACGAATCACGATCGTTTAATAATAATAATAATAATGATGATGATAATGATGAATCGTAAAAGTATTTTAAAAAAAGCGAACAAAAACTCTGTCAAATTCAGATTTTTTTTTTTCAAAACTAAATTTCTACCATTTTCCTTTCTATTTTTTTGCGGGAAGCGAGAGAAGGAGGGGGAAGGGAGAGAATGAAAAAGAAGAAAAAAGATCAATCTGTATAACAAAAAAAAAAAAAAAACTTTTTAAACTTTTTCAGTTTTTCGTTAAAATTATGTTTTTTTAACAACAACAACAACAAAAAAATTTTTTTCTCTTTTTCTTTTTAGAGGTAATTATTTGAGTAATTACGACTCATCGATCACGTTTAAATATCAATCAAAATGTGTAATTTTTCTTCTTTTTTTTTTCTTTTCCTTTTCCGTTTTTTGTCGTAAAAAACATTTGAAATGTAGAGAATAAATTTATTTAAAAAAAAAAAAAATGTTATTCAGAATTTTAGTCTGAACAACAACAACAGCAAAAAAACTTTTCCTTTCTATTTTCTATTTTCTATTCATATATTTAAAAATTCCCTATGATGACGTAATATTAGTTTTTTTCAAATTTTTTCGTTACGTAATAAAATAATTTCGATAATGCATAAATATATATATTTTTATTACAGGTCACATTTTTCGCGACCTCTTACGTAATTCCATTAGCATTAATTTGCGGTTTATATCTTCGTATGTTAATACGTTTATGGACGGGAGCAGCACCTGGAGGACACGTGTCAGCAGAAGGTAGAAGAGGTAGAAAAAGAGCTACGAGAATGGTTGTTGTCGTCGTCGCCATATTTGCTTTTTGTTGGTGTCCCATACAAGTAAGTTGTTTATTTTAAAATAAATAAATAAATTCATCTTGTTTAAATAGATCGATTTATTTATTTTTTTTCCTTATATTTTCCCACACGCTTTTCACCATTTTAAATTGATTCTTTATTTTTTCAATGAAAATAAAAATTCAATTTTTTTTTTTTATATATATTTTAAATTTTAAATTGAATTATTTATATAAAAATTGTGACATATTCTAACGATGAGATTTTCACACGGCCATGATTCCTTTTTAAATAAAAAAAATATTATTATTATTATTATTATGTTATTAACGTCAAAAAATTTTCCGATAAAAATATGAAATTTGAAATAACAAAATCCCTTTTATTATAATATTTAAATTCGCGAATGATTAAATTATTAATGATTTAAATCTTAGTGACACGTTTCCGGTTAAATACACTCATGATGATGATGACGACGACGATGATGATGATGATAATGATGATGGTTGTAAATAAATAAATAACGAGAAATTTAAATTTTTTTTGTTTATTTACAATAAAAAAATCGCGGATAGATTTTCGGTTTTAAATTTTTATAATTTCCAAACGTCAAAAAAAAATTTTTTTTTAAATTTCCGACATTTTTAAAATCCTTCTATTTAATAAAATACGTGTGTCAAATTGAAAAAGTGTCACTTGTTTGTTGTTTGGCGACAAAAATACAAAATGATAATGTAGCCATCTTTTTTTTTTTTTTGAAAAAAAAAAAATTTTTAAATATTATAATAATTTCTAAAATAAAAAAAACCTATTTTTCTTACTCTTTGTGTAAATGACACGTCGTCGTCGTAGTCTTTTGTACCAAATAAATAAATAAAAACAAAAAAGAAACTAATAATAATAATAATAATAATAATAATAATAATAATAATAATTTTTTAAATTCCAACCCTTAACTTTGTAACTTTTACCATCATAATCAAATCAAAAATAAATTTATTCTGACGTTAATAAAAAAATTCAAAATGGCCGTTCGTTATTTTTCTTTTCTAATTGTTAATTAATTATCATCATCATCACATTTAGTAAATAAGAAAAAAATTTTTGTTTTGTTTTTTAGGTAATTCTATTAGTTAAAAGTTTAAAATATTATCAGACGACGTACGCGACGGTTCTCATACAAATATTAAGTCATTTACTCGGATACATGAATTCATGCGTTAATCCAATTTTATACGCTTTTCTTTCCGATAATTTTCGTAAAGCGTTCAGAAAGGTAAGAAAATCAACAATTATTTTTTTTTTTTTTTATGTAAATAATAATAATTATTTAACCGTTTTAATTAGTAATAAATAAATTTTAATAATGTTATTTTATTAAGGATTTAAATTATTATTATTATCATCACATCGGGATTATAATGCGTAATCATTTTTACAAGTATTTACTATGTAATAATTATTATTAATTTATTGAATTAAATTTAAACGTTTACGCGTTTTAGCTTTTTACTTGTTATTTTAATAAATACTCTATTTAATAATTTTATTATTATTATTATTATCATCATTATTATTTCAAGTATTTAAATTTGATTTTGTTTTTTTTTTTTTAAATGAAATTAAAATTTTCAATGGAATGAATAAATCGAAGTCGGTGAAATTTGTGTGGAATATAAAACGTCACCTTTTGTCAACAAAAGTTTAAATAAATAAAATTTTATCATTATTATTATTATTATTATTATTATTACTTTGACTACTAAACTTCGAGATATTTATTTAAATATATAAAAGAGAAAAAACAATTTACATAATTTTCTTTTGAATTCTTTATATATATAATATATATATTTAATAATAATAAAAATAATAAAATTTCTTTTCATTCGTATTAAATTCAATTGTCTGGAATTATTTGATTAGAATAAATATTAATAATAATAATGATGATGATGATAATAATAATAATAATATTTTACGATAATGTTGTTTTTTTTCGTTGGATTGTTTTTGTTTTTTTTGTCGTAATTAACACGTGATTGTTGTTGTTGGTTGAAAATTCGTGAATAATTACTATTATTACGCGTGATATTCTTAAATAAAATTTTATTTTTTAATAAATAATAATAATAATGATAATGATATTCGTGTGAAAAATGAAATGTATAAAATAATAATAATAATAATCGGTTTTTATTTTTATAATGCGAATTTTCTAGAAAAAAAAAAAAAAAAATCGATCGATTTATTTCAAGGCAGGCACTCTCACGTAAACCTTATTACGTTTTTATTTATGACATTTTTTTTTTAAACTCGAAATTATTATTAAAGTGAAAAATTTTATTACTTAGAATGTGATTATTTCACTCGCCTTACCCTCCTCTCCCCCCGCTTAAAAAAAAAAAATAGGGGGAGTAAGAAAATAGGGAGAAAGTAAGGAAGAAAGGGTATTTTAAATTTCTCGTTTTTAAGTTAAAAAAAAAAAAGTATTAAACGAAAGAAAAGTTTTGTTTTGAAATATTAAATATTAATGACGATGATGATGATGATGATGATGATTTTGTCTCAAAAAAAAAAAAAAATTATATCGTCATGAATTTTTTTTTTTTATGCTACCAACTTCAGTGAACTTATTCTAATGCCACGATATTTACAAAAAAATAATCATGTCGTTATTTGTCACGAGAACGATCATCATACTCATCTTTCGAATAAAATTTTTCTTATTACGTAACAAAAAGAAAAAAAACCATGAGTAGTATAGAAGTAGATAGAACTTTTTTCTTTTATTCTTTTTGTTAAATATTAACATAAAAATTTTCATATATTCGAGTGAAAAGTTGTTAAAATAAAATTTTATATTCGAATTTGCATTTACACGAAATTCACTTATGTTTCAATAATATAATTATGCTAATTTTAACTTAAAACTTTATATATATTATGTTTTGGATATTATGTTACCACCGCTTCCCGACCCCTCCCACCGGCTATCGCCACCACCACGACATTTCAAAACAAAATTTTAAGATTACGAATTTCGCAATGCTTTTTACCTTTATTCCAATAATAATAATAATGATAATAATAATATGAAATTTATAGATTTATAATAATGACTCCCGAGTCATAGTGTTAATTTAATAATAATAATAAAAAAATAAGAAAAAAAATTATTATTATTTTAAGGAGGTAACGAAAAAGAAAATTACGTATTATTATTATTATTATTATTATTATTGAAAAACGGTTTTAAAATTAATGATTTGGTTATGACGTAAGAAAGAAAAACCCCCCAATTTAAAAAAATTTAAAAGAGGAGAAAGAAAAAAAAAAAAGAAAAAAGAAAAACCTTTAAAAAAAAAAGTTTTTTTTTTTTTTTGGGGGGGGGGGAAAGTTTTAAAAGATTATTCTTATTGTTTCTATTATTATTATTATTAATATTTTTTAAAAGAAAAAAAAAGTTTTTAAACAAAAAAAAAAATTCAAAATGAAACAAACAGAAAAAAAAAATACGAAAATTGTTTATAAGTTTTTATAAAAGCATTTGAAAAAAAAAAAAAATTTATTTATTTACATTTCGTTTTTCATTTCTTTTAAAAAAAATTCTTAATATTTTTTTTCCCTTTTAATAATAATAATAATAATAATAAGTGAAAATTGCCAAAAGAGGAAGGGGGAGAGGGAGGAGAGAGAAAAGAAAAAATTTATTAAAGTCAACCAACCAAATAAGGGGAAAAAATCAAATAAAAGAAAA